ACCCCGGCGTCTCTTCAGGCCTGGGCTAGCCCATGCAGAACGGCTCCCCACCGCACTCAGCTGGATCACCTTCCCCCTTTGATGCTTTTAATTCTGGATGCCAGCTAAATTAGCCTGTGCAATAGCTTGGGAGAGGGAAAGGCAGCAAGCACCGAGCCACCCACTGCACTGAGTGCAATGCCTCATCTTGGCTCTGGAAGTGAAAGGCACATGGGAGAAGCCAGTCAGACCCCAGGCAAAAATCCCAAAGGAGCAGGGCTGAGTCAAGACAGGCTTCCCAACAGATTAGCCCTTATCCAAAACATTCTTACCCACTCTATACCCAAGGACTGGAAGTCTGAATCCTTTAGTCTTAGTTGTTGAGCAGCCAGACAGCTGTCTGCAGTACAGGAGAGCCCTTCTGCTACGTGCTCACCAGTAATTGAGCTGTGCACAGGGCAGACAAGGATTTGCATACTATTATACACTGCTGACAGCCTGGAGCAGCCCAAGGCATATGTGCTATGCAGGTGTTAGCATTAGCTAGGTGCTGGAGGGGTGCAGAAAGGCCCAATTCTACCTCTGGAGCACATAAACATTTGTGAGGTGCTGTGCCAGAAAGAGCTGCCTGGAAAAAAAAAATCAAGGAAGCTGAGGTGAACCCAGCTCTCCGATCTTTTCCCCGATGCTTCTTCCCTTCAAGGCATCGCATCTGAGACCATAAAAAAATCCCACAACGACTAGGTTGAAGGCAAAGCACCCAGGGGAGCACCAAGGACAGGCCTGGACTGGTTGCGCTCTACCACCCCACCAAAACTTGGGGCCAGCAAAGAGTTTCAGGTGGGCTGGGGGGGGACGGGGACATGACGACAACTTGCTGGAAACAAAGATAGCTCTTTCCGTGAAGGATACCCCACCCCGATCACCTTCACAGTCTACAGCATGACCTTGGTCCGTGGAGAGCAAATCTCAGTGCCCTTCATTCCCTGCCATCCCACCAGCGATCCTCCCAGAGCACCAGCAGCAGCACCCTCTGGAAGGAGGACACAGCCATCAAGACAGTTTGTCGAGACCATCAAATAATAATTTACTGTGATTCAATCTGTGGCTTTGTACAGTTGCCGGGGTGGGAGGAGGCCAAAGGAGGAGGGGATGGGGGGAAAAAAAAAAAAAAAAAAAAAAAAAAAAAGGCGA